GATCTATAGTGTCAAATGCAATTCTAAGATCAAGTAAAACTAGCAATGAGATGCAGCCTTAGCCTGACGCAAGAAGTCATTTGTAATTTTAACAAGTGCCGTTTCTGTTCTATGGTGGGGCCTGAAACCTGACTGAAATTCTTCATAGAGATAATTTTTTTGCAGGAAGTAGCACAATTGAGCAGACACAACCTTTTCTGTAATTTTAGACATAAAAGGAAGATTTGAAATGGGTCTGTAATTTGCCAGTTCACTAGGATCTAGTTGTGGTTTCTTAATAAGAGGCTTAATAGTCGCCAGCTTGAATGGTTTTGGAACGTGGCCTAGAGATAGCGACGAGTTAATAATTTTGAGAAGTGGTTCTTCTGCTACAGGTAACAACTCTTTCAGTAATTTAGTAATTTAGGGTATAGGATCTTAAAAACATGTTGTTGGTTTAGATGCAATAATAAGTTTATTTAGCTCTTCTTGTCCTATAGTTGTAAAGCACTGCAGATTTTCTTTGGGTGTGACAAATGAAACTGAATTACTGTAGATTCTACATTTGTTATTGTATTTCTAATGCTACATCAGTATCTACTTTAGATACATCCTGTATCTACTTTATCAGTAAAGAAATTCATAAAGTCATTACTATTAAACTGTGAGGGATTTATTTCGGGTGATGTCTGATTATTTGTTAATCTAGCGAATGTGCTAAATAAAAAACCTTGGATTGTTTTGGTTATTTTCTATAAGTTTGCGGATATGCTCTGCCCTGTCAGCTTTTAGAGCCTGTCTATAGCTGGACATACTGTTTTTCCACGCAGTTCTTAAAAATTCCGAGTTAGTTTTTCTCCATTTGCGCTCAAGAATACAAGTTTCTTTCTTGAGAGAATGGGTATTACTGTTGTACCATGGCACAGTACGTTTTCTCTAACATTTTTTAATTTGATGGGGGCAACAGCTTCTAATGCATTAAAGAATATAGTGCCCATATTGCTAGTCATCTTGCCTAGTTCATGTATATTTATGGGTACACCGAGCAGTTGAGATAAATCAGGCAGGTTATTCGTGAATCTATCTTTGGTGGATGGATGCCTGCGTACCCGGATGATAACTCAGAGCCATATAGTTAATATCAGTAATACGCAGCATGCATGAAACAAGGTGGTGGTGTTTTACGACCCATGGCTCAAGGGAAGCAACAAACAGGACACACGCGAACCAAACGGGTAGCTTTGAGTATAATTTATTCAAAAAGCTACAATCACATAAAAAAAGTAAAGAAAACAACTATGTACTGGAAACATCAGTAATGCCAAGGTGTAATGCGAAATGTATGGATGTGGTGGAATGTAGTGTACTGCGTGTTGGAGTGCAAAAGCAAACACAAGCCAAACAAGTCACAAAACCAATTGCCCAAAACCAGAGCCCCTCCTCTAGCTCAAGCGGAGGCCTCTTTTAAAAGGAGCGTCTGATAGAGAGCAGGTGTCCCAAACGACGGCCAATCAACGTAGTCCATGGACTCCTACAGCCATTCCACAAAGTAACGACAGGGGTCGTCACAGTGGTCAGTAACATCATCACTTTTGAGTAGGGTTGTGACTGTATGGGATTTTTTTTTTTACCGTGGTGAAGAAGCAACAAATCACGCGGTTTGCCGGTTTTCGCACCCCAACATAATGCAACATAAAAGAGGCTTTTTTCTGATTTGGGTTTTTCAAAGTGCAACATAAAAAGGGAACATCAGGCTATAGTCTGTTCAAGGATATATTCCGCAGCCACCTGCTCCCGCTATATTCACTCTTTGTTCACCCGCTGTCTGCTTAATTTTCTTCCTGACCCGACCGTTCCCGATAAATGTATCTCGTTTCCAGAATCTCACATTTAAATTTCCACTACTGAAAGAGAGAGAGAACAAAAATGTAGTCTGCACAAAAATTTTATTTGTCATTTCATTCGTCTTGTCCAGAATCAAATTAGTTTTACATTTTGCTGTCATAATAATAGGAAAAAGTGTCGCAGAGAAAAAAATTATATATATAGGTTGTTCAAAAATTTTTGCCTATTTGTTACTTTGATTTGTCTTGTCAGAATACAAAATTCGTTTAACATTTTGCTGTCAACTCAACACAGTAGGAAAAGTGTCGCAGGGAAAGAAAAAAAATACGACATCTGTCATTTAAAATTATAAGTAAAATAGGAACAAAACCGTTGGCTTGTAGCCACTGCGAAATGAAATCACTTTTTAACCGAATAATTTAACATCCCTGAGAAGAATGTACCGAGTCAGACTTGCCTGACGTGGGTTTCTTAGCAGTAAACTGACCATTTTCCAGTCCCAAGTTGAACGTCCTTCAAGGACAGCGCATCCACACTTTGCTTTGCCATTCTTATTCTGCTCTGTCACTCATCAACAACCTGCCTGTTCTGTCTGAGGGCCATATATTCACCGCCGGTACCGCTCTGAGGACCATTATGCACATGCTGCGCGCACTGACCATTTTCCAGTCCCAAGTTGAACGTCCTTCAAGGACAGCGCATCCACACTTTGCTTTGCCATTCTTATTCTGCTCTGTCACTCATCAACAACCTGCCTGTTCTGTCTGAGGGCCATATATTCACCGCCGGTACAGCCTGCTCTGAGGACAGATTGATCCCACAAATAAAATAAATGACACAGAAAGCACTGGTCCATGCATGCAGCGCGTGCATAACAGTCCTGAGCGCAGGCTGTACCGGTGATCGATAAGAGTGAGTAAAGCACAGATATGCTGTTCTGAAAGGACGTCGGGAATGGGATATTGTTAGACTGCCCGCTGGAGTTACTGACCGCTACCGTGTTTTATTCGGAAATTGAATCCTGCGTCGCAAGAAATCTGGTCATCAAATGAGCCGCGGGAATGCAGACCTCTAGCTTCCTCCTGCAAATACCTTGCAAAAAAAGTACGGTGATGACCTCAACACCGCGGTCGGCATCTCATTACCGCGGTTATGCGGTTATCGCCACAGCCCTAACTTTGAGGTACAATATCTATATCAGTAAGATCAATTCCATGTGATATAATTAAATCTAGTGTATGATTAAAACGATGAGTGGGTCTGGTTATGTATTGTATGTCTCTAAAAGAGTTTATTAAGTCTGTAAACACAAGTCCTAACGCATAATTTTTATTATCAACGTGAATGTTAATGTCTCAGACAATTAGCGCTTTATCAACAGTAACCAATAGGTCTGAGAGGAAATCTGCAAATTATTTTAGGAAATCTGTATACGGCCCTGGTGGTCTATACACAGTAGCCAGAGCAAGAGATAGGAGAGATTTATTTTGCATATCTGACAGTGTAACATTAAGCAGAAGTATTTCAAATGAGTTAAACCTGTATCCTGTTATCCGAGTAACATTGAGAATATCACTATATATTGCTGCAACACCGCCACCGCAACCAGTCTGCATGTTATAAGTCATGCTTATAACAGTAGCTTGGTGGAGTAGACTCATGTAGACCAATATAATCATTTGGTTTTAGCCAGGTTTCAGTCAAGCAGAATACATCAAAACTATTTTCTGTGATCATTTCATTTACAATAACTGCTTTGGGTGCAAGTGATCTAATGTTTAAGAGCCCAAGCTTTAAAAATGTTTTTTGTTCATTTATTTAGCATTTTTCCAGTTTAATCATGATCAGATTTTAACAAGATCCTGCATTCGTGCGTAGCGTCCTGGAGATGTTGTCCGGCAGGATTTCTGCTCTGATGCAGGCCTCCTATTCCGCTCCGGTGCAGGCCATCAGTGCAAAAAAGCCTAGGACGCTCCCAGAAAAGATTCCAGTTATTAACAAAGAGCAGTTTCAGTTTTTTACACAAAGACAATAACCATTCGTTTAAAGCAAAAAGTCTACTGAATCTTTCGTGTCCTCGTCGATACGTGGGAAGCGGTCCTGACACGATGATCGTCATCGCGGGCGATGTGCTGCGCACCGTCTCGATC